AACCATTCTAGATGGATACCGAACTGACCTAACTGCTCGGAATATGCGAGCCATTCCTAGTAGCGGCTGAAATGAATGTTTTAATCACACTTTATATAACTATATCAATTCGACTAGTACCGTGATTTTCTGCTGTCCCAAGGACTCGCCAGTATCACTCTGTGAACTGAGGCCATTGACAAGAACTCTTATTCACAGTCCACCCAAGAGGTATTCCGCCGAATATGAGCGAGCAACTTTGGAGGACGAAAACTCCAACCAGGTGGTTTGAGCTATATGCATGACCCTAGTGATCTACTGGAGGGAGATGAGAGCCACACTCTGCTGAAAATTAAGTTTATGTTAAGGGAACTGCCATAAACTTTGTGCCTCGGTATTCCATTCTTAGCTTTCGAGACAACTTTTGCAAGCTTTAGACTAACAGCTTGAGAACACAGCACCATCAAAGATAGATAATTGAACCACATTATCAAGTTTTCTCGTAGCTACGTGCGAGCTAAACATCAGTCAGCGGTGGGAAATTTCTGTCGACTGAGTCATTCTGAGTCGGATGGCTGAGCTTGACTCACAAAGAACATGACTGCCAGGGAGTACATGTATATATTGATATGAATGGTATGATCGTATCGCACCTATATTCGGTCAGATGCATTTCTGGATAGTCTGAACCGGCATGAGAACAATTCCGTCGAGAGTGGAAAGTACGAACAGCTGTTCTTGTGCAAACAAACGGAGATAAGGGAAGCAGATGTATTGTATGGTATCTGTCACCTAAAAACCCCATGTGCAACGAAGTTGTATCTTGAACCCTTCTCAAATGGAAAAACATAAGTACCGAATGAATTTTGTAGACAAGATGGTCGGCAGGATGCCACAACTATGAATATTTTACTCCGTTGTTTTAAGTTTATGGGGATTGAAACTTTCTGGAGGAAATCTCTGATAAGAATGATAGTGCATGCGTATGCTTGAGGGTAAATTTTTGTCTTGACAGCCGTTTCGAAAACTAGTAATTCCGTATTACAGAAGTAGTAATATAGAATGATTCTGATTTGGCGAGCTGAATCGCCTCCTTGTGGTGCCGACTGGGTAGCCCGGACGTCAGTCTGGGTGAGCTAAGAGTTCAGCAACTCCAGACGGGACTAACCACCCTGTTTGGTTTCAATGTGCACTACGAATCAGCTGGTGTCTCCGCACCAGTTCCAACCAGTATACAGGAAAGACTGGTGGGGCTCACGTGTGAGGAATGTGGCTAGTGCTGCAAATCGAAAGCTGGCTTGGAAGCCCATCATCGAGTTCACGACAATGAAAGTGTTGGTACGAACATGGTCGCCCAGTTGGCCTGCACTGATTGCTCCCGCCTTTTTCCGACGATGTTTGGCCTAAGTCAACATCGCCGGCACGCAATCCCACCCAGCATAATGCAAATAAGCTTGGCCGAGGGAAGTGTTCCGATGCCCGCTGGTTCAAACAAGATTCACAATCGCTTTTGCTGGCAATTTCTACCCGTCTTGTGACACGCAAGCCGCGCTATTCGCGAGATTGGGGCAGTACTTTCCTGGTCGATCGGCTGCCAGCATCAAAACCGGGTTACGGGTGCTTAACTGGCAGCACAGGACGAATCACCATCTGGCGGACCTGACCAAACTATCGGTCAATAGGCAGCCTACTCGTCAGAAACCGATGGCTGGTTTAAACAAACTGTGGATTGCGCCATCTCACTCTTGGAATTCAATGTTGACAGTTCGGTTGCTAGTGTTGACCTTCTGGCATTTGCCCGAGGGTTGCAGTCTGGCATCATGACAGTGGAACAAGTCCTTCCGCTTCTGGACCTCCACGCCTTCAGGACATTTCCACACACCTGGAAAACTGTATCTCGACGCCGTCATCAGTTAGCCTACCGGATGCCGGTCAACCGACAGCGGATCCGCCGAGCCCACTACGCCGCCATCCAGAACCTATATCACCAGCGTCTGCTGTGCTCGATGGGTCATGAAAGGATCCATACAAAGGTAAATGCGGCCTACCTCTAGACGCCGAGCAGTATTGAAAACAGGTGCTCTCAGCTCGAAAACACGTGGATAGTCGACCAAGTCGCGTAGTAGTACCCTCGATGGGTAAAGGATCCATACAAAGGTAAATGCGGCCTACCTCTAGACGCCGAGCAGTATTGAAAACAGGTGCTCTCAGCTCGAAAACAAACACATAGCTGGCCAAGTCGCACAGTAGTACCATCCGACTGGAGCTTGATCGAGCCAATTACAGGCCATACAATTCTTTTAATGGGCATTTCATCTCCAGGCTTGAAGAAGCTCAAGCCCAGGATGCTCCGTGCTTCGTCATCTTCTAACCGCAGCTCGGTTTTTCTTGATATCTCGAAAGCGTTTGGTTCAGTTTCGAATGACACAATCGTCAGATCTGCCGGGGCGTTTGGAGCTCCGTCACCTCTAGTTCGATACATCGCACAGTCCTATGAGAATGCTGTAGCAGTTTTCCCCAGTTCCGAGGTTCACTGCCACAGAGGTGTGAGGCAAGGAGATCCACTCTCCCCATTATTATTCATTATGGCAATGGATGAGGTTCTTGGATTGTCGATGCCGCAACTGGGATACCAGTTCCATGACACCTTAGTAGATGGTTTTGCTTTCGCTGACGACTGGGTCGTGTGTGCAGAAAGTCAGGCACGCCTTAAAGAGAAGCTTGAAGCTGCTGCGGTCGAGTTGGGAAGAGCTGGCATGAAAATAAACGCCCGAAAGACTAAAGTGATGGTTATTTGTGGGGACAGGAAACATCGGGCAACAGCAGTCTCAGTCGAACCATTTCGCTTTGCCGAGGAACTAATCACTCCTCTGGGTCCGACAGACACTGTAACATATTTGGGCATTCCCTTCACCTCCAAGGGGAAAGGGGTCTTCAACCACCGACAGCACCTGCTCAAACTGCTCGAAGAAGTGACGCGTGCCCCGTTGAAGCCGCATCAAAGAATGGATATCACGAGGAACTACCTGATACCAAGGCTGACATATTCGCTCGTGCTCGGCCAAGTCCACAGGAACACACTAAAAAGATTGGACAACTACATCAGGCAATATATTCGTGGCTGGCTACGTCTACCGAAGGACACCCCAATCAGCTACATCCACGCCGGTAAACAACATGGGGGACTTGGTATCCCAAGTCTGAGTGCAACAATCCCGATGCAGCGGAAAACGCGTATGGAAAAGCTCCTCTCTACTCAGTGCCGAGTACTACGCAATGTGGTCAACGATTCCGCATTCGGCAAAATTGTTCGGGATCTCAGCCTTCCGATCCGAGTCCATGGAGCATGCGTAAACACCAAGGAGGAGCTGGTGGCTGCTTGGGGTGAAAGTCTGCACAACAGCGCTGACGGTCGCGGTTTACGAGAGTTGGTCACTTCGCCTCTGTCGAATCGATGGCTCGTATTCCCAGAACGAGTGTTTCCACGGATATTTATCCGGGGTATCCAGCTCCGATGCAACCTGCTCAGGACGAGAGTTAGAAGTGCTCGGCATGGTCATGGTGGCCAGACGATCTTATGTCGTGGAAACTGTGGCCAACCGGAGAGATTGGTGCATATTTTGCAGTCCTGCCAGATCACGCATGATGCTAGATGTGCTCATCATAATCGGGTTGCAAGGGGACTCACAAAACATCTCCGTCGCCTGGGATACACCGTCTTCGAGGAGCTGAGGCCACCTACTTCGACGCCTTTCATCAAGCCTGACTTAATCACTGTTCTGGAGCGCCCAGCAACTGTGATAGTCGTAAGTATAGTCTCGGATGGGCGTGGAGTGACTATGTGAAATGAGAAGAAGCGAAAAAAATGGTTCTGGTGAATATTCCCGCGCCATTATCTCAGCCCTACGTGCGATCGGGTGGAATGATGACTTTTTGGTCCAACAACCGATGATCATCTCTTACAGAGGGATCTGCTTTCCTCAATCCAACGAAGGTGTTATTGGCCTGGGACTTCCTAGGGTCACAGTCAGTGACTTGTGTTTGCTTGTCATTGTGAGCTCTCTGCGTACTTACGACCCTTTTATGCTTACTACATGACGTTGAGTGTACATTCTGGCCATCGAATCTCACACCCAGACGGACACTTTGTGCCTGATTCGCGAGTCTTGAGTGTGCTAGCGCTTACCACTCCTTAAAAGCATTCAGCATTGTTTGTTCTTTGCTCTGTTGTCGGTCTTCACACGCGTGTTTCCATACCAAAATTCTTACACACTTTGAGATTCATCTTGTCTGATTGGAACTGTTAGTGGCATGACTTCAAGTGAGACGCTTCTCTCTTTTTATCTAATGTTCTCCTCTAATTTTCCTGTAGCCCTTCCACATTCATCGCTTGAATTTACACTTTATGTTTGTGATCATGCTCTTCAAAAATAAACGATAGATATGACTGCAACAACAGAACTATCACCAGCTATGGATATTGCAACTATGCCTGTTGTAAACGGTTTGAGTTGATGAGTTAAATTATATGGGAACTTGATACTCCTACACCAGAAAGTTCCTTGCTGTTAAATAAAGTTCAAAAATAGCAGAAATGAGGGATTCCCTGAATGTATTCCTCCAGGTACAAATAATTTGGTATTCAAGTGGAACATTTGGTTGATGGAATCTCGAAGACTACGTCTAATCGGTGAGCTCCGAGAATGTCGAGACCGGTATTGGGCTGTCGAATGGTATTCAGCAACCTTATTAGTAGCATTATGTTGCCGAATAAGGGAGCCATTTAGTCGTTTCAGACAGTCTCCAAGTGCTTATCAGGTGATCAAAGCCATTGAATGTTCTAACGCGTGAACTGTGTGGGTAAGCCTCTTTCTAGGACGGCTGATTAGGCTTTTTTGCTCGCATAAACAGCATCCAGAAATGTCACTATGTAAACTCTACGATTGAACCTTCGATGTTTCTTGCGTGAGTCACTCCAGTAACATCATTTTATCTTAATTCTGACTTTAACTTTTTCGGCCTTACTTTTGATGCGGTTCATTAAAACCTTCAATGTGACCACCATTTGTCCAAGGTACGCCATCTTTATTTATTTTGAATGTGATGTGGTCCGTGGTCACTTCTATAAAAGTAAAAAAAAACTAGAATTTAAAAAAGAAAAACATCTGTTGCCTCGACAGACTAGTCAACTGATTTAAAATACCATGCTGTTTCAAAGATATTAACAGTGGGTTTAACAATCTTGATGAAAACTTGTGTCCAGACTAGTGAGGTTCCAGACAAGTCGAAGAAAAACCAGGAATTGTAATGGAATCTAGCTGGAATCTATCTTCCCCGAGGTAGCAGTGCAACGAAGGAAATAAATTGCGTCTCATTGTGATATGGAAACATTTAAAGCCCAACGAGTCCAAGGATAACAGAGAAATCCTGAAATTCTACTAAAATGTAAAAAAAAATTGATGAAACAAGTGGAACAGCTGCCTCAAACTCCGAGCAGTTTTGCCTTTTTCTAGGACTACGGATCCTACCTTCACCTGTTGTTGAACAATCTCGAACTGGTCTTTCTCCATTTGTCACTCACAGAAGGGAACACAACCGCTACATTCCGAACAAGCGAGTGCGAGAGCGTGAGGACGTGCGAGTACGGAAAGTACAACGGCCTCAAACTTTTTATTGGAAGGACACTGTCTGAGCTTGGTCCAGTGCTGACGCACACGGTCTGGCTGCGACGTGCTGCATATCGCGGGGGCGTTGTCTGACCTTGATCAACGCTGACTCGCGCTGTCTGGGTTTGATACAAGGCTGTGACGCACCACATATTGGTGGAGCGTTGTCTGTCTGGTCAACATCTAGCGGAGCTGAGAGTCCCCGTAGATTCCGGGCATCCAGTGGTTGCTTTCAGGAAGCTGACCTTCCTGATAGGTTCCCGGTCTAGCAGCGGCCAAAAATCTGTAGAAACATTCGCGCAAGAATCCTATGCACATAACCGTCTCTGTTAAGCGAATGCATCTGTAAGCCACCCCTGCGCTCCAGGAACACCATGCTGCTTTCGAATCAAACGTTATGGTTGGCATTAACGCTTCAGCCGATTGTAGCTGAAGGAATCACCAAGACGGACCTATCCGTGTGATACGACAACGAAAGGCAAGTCTTGACGCCTTTGTCTGTCACGTGCAAAGAGAGTCTCAGTTGTCCAGACAAGTTTGCTCATTTGTTGGTAAGGCACTTGCGTTCGCCGTCGGGTTGCGTTGGGCTGCTGCTGGGCTACTATTTGGCGTATTGTCCCCATTTCGAGTGCTAGAAGTTTACGATATCGCAACATTCCGGTGTACCTGAGGGACACTGCTCTAAAAAAGCTGGGGCGCTTGCTTATATATCACATGAAAGAAAACAGAAGTTATTTCGCACTGTGCAAACCAGAGTGATGCTCACTGATGGCAACACCTAATCTGTTACTTGATTGATTGTGGAAGTGAAATTTGGACTGGTTATGGCGGGACTACCAAACAGAGGGATCTGGAGTTTGATGGGTGAAATTCAATGAATTACTCGCCGCAGGCTGGATAGTAGGTATACCAATGTGCGAACATGTAACACTGGAAGATGGGTAAAAAGTTACTGAGAACTTACCACTGGTTTCGCCCTGTTTGCGGCTCAGATGTAGAGATGCAGATGTAGGGTTCGAACCACGGGCCTTCCATTTAGTAAGTTGGCTTATTAACCACTGAGCCATTTCAAAATTCATTGTTATGTAATAATTATCAGTAAATGTTTTCCGGAGTGTTAGTGTGAACAGCTGGTGTCCATTCTGGTGTGCATATAGCTATCTCCACCGTTCGGACCTACTTACAGTCAGACCTATATGTAGCGTGTGGTAAGCCTTCTGATTGTCCCATGTGGGACTTCGCGCAGACTGCGCGAGATACCATGCCCTTGTCACATGATTGTCAAGCCAATAACTATTTACCATGTGTGTGCCCGAATACTGAGTTACCTTGGTTATCTCGTGGCCGTTACTATCTGAGCACAATTGGGGTGGACGACATTTGTCCACGAGAAGGTACCAGACTATACCTACTGTGACCCATACTTAGTGTTTGGTGGCACTGACAACAAGCACCTCATTCCAACATTCAGTGTCTCCAACATCTTCACTCCGGTTTTTGTGAACCGTCCATGCTTCAGACGACCTCTTGTGTACGAAACAAACTTTTGCTGCTACTGCAGTCAACTATGAAACTTGTACGATTGCATGTGAGGAAGATTCTTGTAGCTGAAATTGGCGATTTCGGTTTAGAGAAATTTGTGGACAACACTTGCCGTTTCCGACTTTCTAGTTCACTGATTTTCAGGTTTATCGAACTAGTTCCACTTCACTCCCGTCTTCGTACCGGACAATATTGTTTACGGCTTCCGTCATTGATTCCGTGGCGGGTGACCATTAGGTAGATAGGAGTAATAGATAATGGTGGAAGAGCTATTCCAGCGATCAGCATGAGTTAGAAATACATGGCGAGTTGCCACGTCACTTGTCAAAATATGTAAATGAATTGCCTGAATTCTGCAACAAAGCCTGATTCGCTGGAGGCTGGATACTCATCGATCACGGAGAACCTACTTACTGAAACCGACATATCTTGCGGATGGTGCAGTTCTCAAGTACTGTACTCAGGTAGATTCATAAATCGTTTTGACATTCAAACCGAAAGGCGGAACGTTTTTTAAGCTGAGACTGTGAAATGAGCAGAACAGATTTTATCCATCATCTTTCGTGAGCACTAGTCGAACTGTGCACTGTGGGCTGAGCATGGTTTCCATTGGAAACGTAAGTGAGAAGGAAATAAAAATGAGAGTTTTCTTTTAATTCGGAAATTCCCTCTTGAGAGTTTGGTCTACCCACATTCTCTAAAACGTGGCCAGGTACTCGCAACATTGGAAATCCAATAGACCAGTTTGTCTACCAAAGCCTGCGCCACACTTGCCTTCTTTTATCAAAAAAGTTAAGCAGCCGGCTTTCTTCTAATCGGGGTTTTTACGCATGGCAGCCACAGAAAGACATCCATCTGCTTTGCTCATCCATGCTTGGTTGCACAAGAACAGCTCTTCATCAAGTGGAATCGGTTACCGAGAAAGCACGGTTGACCCTAGACGCGGTAAGAGCGAACTGTACCGAGTAACTTAGTTAGGGCTGTTCAATGCATCATCGCATTCACATGTCACTTTGAAATCCGAACCTGAAAGACTTAGTCAAATGGCAGATGACATCTCGTCACTACAAGCCTTGAAATACGTTCAAGGAAGTATGAGAGAACTTGTTGATGTGGCTGAACAACCAGGCTATAGCTGCTACTGGGTTTTCAGTTCGAATGCAATATTTTAAGAGAAAAACAAAAGCAACAAATACCACTCTTTGGCCTAACTAGGCACAGTGCTCAAGAGGCATGTGAAACGCAAGATTGCTATTGGTGAAGTATACTCATTTGCAAACTAAGTTGATGTTACCCGGAAACTCAGATGAATCTCTGCTAAATCTCTCACCCATGGTATTCTCCAACTGAATGTTCTACGTACAGGTGGACTCATTTTAGTTCGTACGCTATTTGGGATATTGTGGCATGTTTTTTACAAGGGAACATACTACTCATAACATTGCTGAAAACTACTCGAGATCAAGTAGATGTAGTTCACCGATTGTGCAAAATCTACTGTTCATGTAGAGTGTAAAGTTCACGGAACCTCAGGAGCAGCGTCTATCTGAGGAGCTCCAAGAAAGGTTGTTGGATGGTTTCGACAACCTTATTAGTTCATTCAGGTCTGCACGCTCTACGTATTTAAACAGTGTCAGCTGTTAAAAATAGCGGTCGTTTGGTCACAACAAAGTGTTCTTTTTAAGGATGGATTATGTGCGCAAAAGGTATGGTCACTTGTGTTAAAAAATCCGGGATGTGGACCATAACAGTAAGATAGTTGTGGGGCCACTTCTGTTCAATCACCGATTTCGGCATACAGCCACGACGTGTTCGTTCCAGCGCTAGTGATATCACACATAGATTGAGGTAGATTTCCTAGCGTTATCAAAAATTTCGTTCATAATTTCTTGGGGGAAGGCACTCCAGACAGAAAAACCGTCAACCATAGTCCCGCATTTTGTCAGGCATAATGGTGCCAGGAATACCTGATTTGAAAGTACAATAAAATGGGAATAAATTTCCACTTATCGGGTGGATTACTGAAATGGCTTTAACAGCCCTGCGTATTTCCTTACCACACACGACTTTCTAACTACTTGCCCGTCAAGTCGATGGTGAGCAGCTCCCTGAAATGCTGTTTTTAAAACCTGGATGCCCCAAGCTGAATGAGATGGAATTAGGAAAAACGGGTGAGCACATAAGCTATTCACACATCACGTACACTAAGGAGCCGAATATCACTCTATGCTTACACCATACTCAGTGTAATATGGTTAGTATCTTCGATAGTGATCCGAGTATCCATTCTAACTCACCCAGAAGCAGACACACAAAAACGTGTACAGAGTACAGTTATTTAAGAGGAAAACATCTCCATAGCCGAGTGCAGACTGTTGGCTAGTGAGGCCTTGTCAGCTAAGTGATGTCCGACTCATGCAGTTGAACAAACGGTTTTTACTTTGACAAACCGCATCAAAACACTACTGAGAAGCCCTGTTTTGCTCCCAAATATAAATTGTGTTTCCTTCCATTCACCATATAGAGTTGTTCAGATTAAACGGATAATCTCCAGGGTGATTAGGAGAATAACTTGGGCTCCTTTCTGACACACCTCTTTGGCCCGCTCTCCAACAAACGCATTTTCAGTGAGAAGTATTTGAAGAATACAATACGTGCTGTACCTGATCACTGTAATCCCAGCGGTGTGTCCTTTCGGAATGTCCTCCTGTACTCTGATCACCCAAAGGCACTTTGACACACCAACATTGCTTTCTCCACAGTCATCTGAACTGTCTTTCGCAGTTGTCTGTTATGACTCAGTATGTTTCTTTGGCGTCCTCAGTGAACATGGTGCGGAAGGCGAATGTGTTGTCTGAGAGATCAAGAGCTGGAATTTGTCTGCAGTCCTGATTTTCCCGCTGCAGATAGGTAAATTGCCATAGACGGTGGAGTTCAGTATGTCCTTCTGTGCACGCTGAGAGACGTTAGCCTACTGAGGAATTTTCCACACAAACACACATCGAATTTCCCTGTTGGATTACCGAATAATTTCATATACGCAATACATCGTCCATGCGAATACGTTGGTTGATTTGTCCACACCGCCAGTGCTTCGAGGTTCCACCAAGAGTTCCTGAAGGTACCTATACCAAACTGATGACCAGCGGTATTGTCATTTGAGACTCAATATCGACATGGCAGCGTTGTGCCAAAGAGACCGACTCACCGTTGGTGGTCGTCACAGTCTTGGGGGCTTCTCCGCTTTTATAGTCATTTGATCACTCAAGGAGGACCGAATATTGGATTCACAAACGAAGAAACAAGGAACTTCTCGGGGTCAACTGAATACAGGTCACAAGCCGGAACTCGGAAGGACAAAGGTAACTCCAACATCGACCAGACTACGACGGCGAGGGGTGCCAAGCTCAAAGGTCACGTGGGCATCGGCGAATGAGGACACGGGATAACAGAACAACCAATGGGGCCGCCCGACCGAACAACCAATCGCGGTCAAAGGTCATCCCCGGCTACCAGCATGTATACTAACACACACGTAACGCTACTCAACGCACAACCACTAACCCACCGCTACGCACCACTACGCCTCCAACAACGCAATGATGATGTCACCTCGATTGGTGATGAAACGTTTGCAATCAAATAGCCCAGCTCAGCGATCAAGCCAACGACCATCTACACGACCTGAGCTACCGACATTTTCCTCTATTTGATCTTCAGCTGTGGCTGGTGCCGCTCCAATGTTCCTTCGGGACGGCTACATTTGCATCCGTGGTGCCACTCGTCTGTCACTAAATGTCTGACCTGCTACGAAATGGAGGAATGCGGGATATTTCTCAAGGTTTCAAAGCCTGAATGCAGTTATCACTGTCACTCGACCAGTTCAAACGAATGTTTCCGCAATGCGTTTGCTGACCGCGTTTGCAGCCGCGTGAGAACGTCAGCGAAATACAGCACTTTTACATAGTTAATAATGGCGCTTGCCAGCTGGCGATCTACCTGCTTTCGGGCTTTACACAGGCGTCCACTGTGTATTATAGGATTTGCGCACTCCGAAACACATCAACGATTCCGACTCCTGTTTCACAGCAATGACTGGCTTTCCGGCATCATTAGACCGAATAGTCAATGCGACAAACTCTGGGATCACCGTAAAACCCAACTAAGTCGCAGTAATTCCACCTGGAACATACTGATGACATACCTGGTCATCTGCAAGGGGCTGGTAGCGCACGATTAGCCAGGTTGAAAGTACACTCCAATGATATAACTGCATCTTGATGAAATCTGTGAATGGCGTTTTTTAAACCGTTTTGTGTTGTCCACATTCCGTTTTTAAAGCACTCGCCTGTCACCAACACAGGTTGAAGCAGAGTATCACCCAGTGCATGCACTAGTTAATATTCATTCTAGACCCCTTTGAATCCTGGCCGCCTTAGCCAAAACTGCTGTGCGACGATAATAAACTACTGTAAACTACGGGTTATCCTTCCTGACTGCATGAGCCTGGCGTGCACTAGTGATTATATTCTCATGAGTAGGAGGTTGGTAAAATCTCTGCCCGCAAGGTTGTGGATTCGAATCCATTTGGCGATTAGTGAGATGGTTTTTAACCAGTCCAAGTGTCTTTAGTCCTGAAGGATAGGCTGACCTCGTTCACAGAGTAAACTCAAGGTCTGAACTTTTTTATTCTGACCTCACTCTGTGGAACCAGCTATAAGTCCACATTTTTAATTGAAGTTTTTTGGCAGGATAACATAAGAATGGACCAATCACGACTAGTACGATATAGACTAGTATCGATCACAGAGGCGGTTAGAATCCGACTGCTGGATCCACAACTTTGCGTCCAAAAGGAACTTGTGCGACTTCTGAACTTGAACTGGCCTACGAAACATCCGGTCAGACAAGTCTGTCTGACATTGACGTCCCTTACCTAATTCCGTGACCCATTGACCTATCCCTCATCCAACTCCCCTTCCTTTGATTTCTATTTCATTAAAGTGCATGTAGCCATGACTTTAAACTTTTTCACGTGATTTGTGGTGCCATCTTAATACCAATAGAAACACTCACAGAAAACAAGCTTCGTTCGCTACCTTCGTTCTCATGACTACCACGGGTATATACAGCCAACATGAGGAGAGCTTGTTCCGTTGTAAACTTCCCAACAACGTCTCGTAAAGTTCTTTGTATTTATGCATTCCTATGTGAGCACTACCAATATGTAGAGGAAATCCTTCATGGAAGTACGAGACAGACATATTCCCATATAAATCATGTTAGTGGGAGCGGCAAACCTTCCTCCCCGCAGCGTTTGCACGTGATGCTCATCCTGCCTTACCAGGTGTGCAGTTTATGTACGGTGAAACAAAGTCCGCTTGTGCGGTTCGAGGTAGAAAACAGTGAAAACGAAGTCAACATGTACAGGTGTTTTTGAGGTTTTCGGTAAACAAAATTATTGGCCCACAGTCTGCAGTCAATTCCGCTACTATGACATCCCCTGACAAAAGACTATTCTGTTGTTGACGAGGTATTCAAGACAAAATGGAACAATAGAGGAGATTGTTTTCCGTCACCGTGGCAACAAACACATTGCTGTTTGCGTTTCATCAAGCGCTCAAGGCACTACTTGATGGGGAGCAAAGAAATTACTGTCAACAAACGACCAATGTGGAACGTGGCACGCGTCACTTAAGTGTAACCGTGACGTTTCAATATTTGATCAAAAAGAAGTCAGATACAAATGTAGTTTTCCGCATTCCACTTGGTTAGGCGTTTTCTCCAAGTGGCAGTATTTCAGGCTTCCAAAATCGCGACAACTCGGCACTTCCGTTCCACAGTTCATGCATTTCAAATAAAACTTACCAAACAATCAGTTTCCTTGACCCAAACAAACGCAATATTAGTTGTATTTGGTGTGAGGACGAGAATGCAGCCTTTTTGACCACATTCTGTATGTCATTCGCCACACTTTCGAAACAAACCAACTGTTGTGGTCTTCAGCCGCAGTGGCATATAGAAAAAAATAGCGCTAATATTATTAGCTGGGGACTGTTTTGACATTCAACTTAGATGTACCTTTTATCCATTGTATTGTACGTCCTTTCAGCCACTCGAAAAACTACAACCATAGCTGTCTGACTGCGGAGACCAGTTGGCAGTCTTGTTTGGAGTTGGGCTAGGTTTGACAAATTTGACAGGCTACTGACAGATTGGTGATTCCTTTTCACGTAAGCATTGGAAGATTGCTTTAATGGAGTACTTAAATGGTGGAAAATAAGAGAACTTCACCAATGCAGAGGCTTTGGTCATTAATGACTTCATCCAGCCCTCAGTCGTGTCAACCCACAGGCGACAGACTAACTTACTACTAATAAGGTTGCTGAAAACCCTAAAAGTTTCCTACTCTGTGGAGCTTATTCAGTGGATCTAATTTTCAATTTTCTATCAGCATTATGTTCTAATCGAATACCCTATTGTACGCAAGTTGTGAAAAACACTCACTTGCAAATTAACCGGAAACCCAAATGGACTGAGGAATCAGTTTAGTTTCCCGTAATCACCAAGGTAGTAGTTCGTAAATGGTCTTTAGATCAGATTTTTGAACCGCGGATGCCGCTACAATGTAAGCGGGGCTTCCATCTAACACCCTTGTATATAAGATCACTAGCAAACTTACAGATGTGGTGCTTGAAGTTAGTTTTCTTCCGTAGCTCTGGGAAATCTAGCTAAATGAAACTTCACTCGTTCTTTCCGATAAGCTGCTATTTAGGTGAATACGCCATCCGCATCATCTCTTGACACTTGTCCGCAGTTGTGACTACCAACCAAGCAATGGCTGTGTATCCCGTTTCATTTTTAAATATCCCGGAAGAAGTGCGTCAGAAATGACAGTGTTTCTAGTACGGTACGGACGTGACCTTCTTTAGACCAATTCATCTGTTTGCGCTTATTCGCCCCCCAATATTCCATGCATTATTAAGACATGAATATTTGCAAGCCTACATCATTTGTGCATTCGAAAATGAATTGTACCGACGCCCAAGGACCGTGTACACAATGCGACTGTAGAAATCCAAACCTATGGTTGTCTCATTCCGCGTTCCGATCTGAGGATTTTAACTGGGTTCAGACGTTTGAGGTCGATGTCTCGGCAATGTTTACAACTTGCTGGCACCCAAGTGCTAGAAAAGAAAGCACTTGGTGATGATTCAGAATAACTCAGGCAGCAAGCGAAACACGAGTCCACCAGTCATCATCAATACTGTCATCGACAGCATGATGTCAGTGTTCAACACCGATGCCTCACTGCCGTACAGTCATGATTTATTTGAAAGGATTATTGTGAAGAATAGAATAGGCGTGGATGGGGAAAGGGCTTGGTGCTAGTTTACTGCAATCGTTTCCTGGTGACTACATCTTCAGACACTCACTCAGGCAATCTGGATGGAAACTGACAACAAGATCGCCACTGATATCCGTTGGTAGCCATGTCTTGCAACGTCTCCGACCAGGTACAGTGGTCCCCATCCTGGAAGTCGATCAGCTACGACTGCACTCTACCAAACAGAACACAGTTTTCTCTTCTGAACTCTTGTAAACGAGTGGCTCATGGGGAAAAGACCATGGTTCGATAACGGGAAATGAAGGTACGTGCTGTGAAAATGAATGCTCTGCACTTTCCTAGGTGGAAGTTACAAGACTCTTCTACATTGCATTAGAGACCCAACAAGACTTAATCCCAGTGACCAATACGGTGTCATTTTTCATTTGGATGACATCTTATTTGATATTGTGATCAGCTGCCATTTCAAGGTCATGAGAACGAAGAAGGTAGCGAACAAAGCTTGTTTTCTGTGGTTGTTCATCTTGGCTAATACATCACAAATTTATATGGTAGCAGAAATCACGTGGAAAAGGTTAAGATCGGGGCTACACTTTAGAGAAATTGAAGTCAGAGGAAGGGGGTTTGGGTGAGGGGTAGGTCAATGGGTCATGACGTCAATGTCAGACAGACTTGTGGGACCAGATGTTTCGTAGGCCAGTTCAAGTTCAGAGGTCGCACAAGTTTCTTTTGGATGCAAAGTTGTGGATCCAGCAGTCGGATTCCTATCGCCTCTGCGATCGATAGTAGTTTGGATCGTACCAGTCGTGGTCCGTTCAGAGGTACCCGGTATATGATGGTGAAGGCTTGCTCCTTGTCTATGATATGACAGGTTTCGGCCAAGTGTGCTGCAATCGCGCTTGAGCCTGGTTTCTTTCCACTACCACTCAGAGATACGGGATTGTGTTCTCGTATTCTGTCCGACAAATGCCTTGTCGTACGACCAACGTATGATGCTCGGCACGAGCATACGAATGAGTACACACAAAAGCTGGTGGTAGAGCGTGGCAATTTGTCCTTCAAGTAGAATTTGGTAGTGCGGCTGGAGTTGAAGCTCAAACATAGATTAGCGGCCAAGTATGTCGTATAAACGGAGCTTCTAAGCCTTCTGGTGATTAGTTCAGCAACCGAGTCACCTTTGAATGGAAGCCTCATGTATACGGGCTTCTTTCTAACAGAAAATTCCGTAGGTTTGGGTTTAACGGCTTCCATAGTCTTCAGTACGAACCTTTCAGGATATCCGTTCTGCAGCAATGTGCGTCCCAAGAACTTTAGTTCCTCTTCTAAGCAATCGGGTGAGCATATCTTCATTGCTCTCTCGGTCAGGCATCTAATTAGGTTGCATCACAGAAAACAAGCTTTGTTCGCTACCTTCTTCGTTCTCATGACTACAATGGTATATTCAGCCGCCATTTCAAGGTCCTTGATTCTTTTACTTAAGAGTACACGGTATTTTCGCCAAGTCTCCAGGTTTTGCTTCAATTTCTTGACTCGTGTGCTCCTTCCTCATATTAGTATAACAGTCAAACTTCAGTATCAAATATTGGTAGTACTGAGGATACTTCAACCAGACACTCGAAGATGTCTGATTCCATTTGCTCACAAGCATTCCTTGAATCTGTTGCTTGATGACCCCGCAGCTGCTCTGCAAACTGAATTTTTGTTTTCAATCAAAATGTTTGATTTTTAGAGAAGAGACAGTCTAATTTGTGGATCTGATGCCTCTTCCACTGGTCGAATCGAGAATGCTGGCGGTTTTCTCCAGGAACACGACTACTGTTCCGTAAATAGTGAGATGATTGCTCATCAGCTGGTCCTATCACGTTGCAAATATTTTACTAGACACCTTCACAATTCTGGAGGATGGTTTAGACTTCGGGGTGCAAGCAGATGTGTCTGAATGATCGAATTGAAACGAATCTCGGAGGGGAACCTCGCACGTAAGTTGATTTCACAAAATATGAAAGTCGAATTTTGGCTAAACTGACGGTCCGTCGTAGAAACAAGTTTGAACGTGATAACCCAATGAAAGCGACCGGGAAGAATTCAGGCAGGTTGGACTCCACACTTCGTCGTACACCTGCAAAGTACGAAATTTTAGCAATATGGCATCTACTAGCAACGACTAATCTCTTTGAGAGAGATTTTTCAGCCTGCTGGTGTTCACTATCCCTCGTCCGAAATTTCGAGAATATGCCCAAGTCAAATTCAAGACAGTCTCTTACTGAGGGTCATTCGCTAGTAGCATGCTACGTATAAATGACCAGAATGATTCTCAGGTACACACTGCATCATCTGATTTAGTGGTGTCCTGTGAAAGAAATGTTTAGTAGCTAAAAAAAATCTAACTGCGCCGTCGAATCTCTACACATAACCCGTTCAATAGTTTCTACAAATTTAGCCCTAAAAATGTGGACCAGACATTGCTTTGGCAACAAAATCGTTTTGAGATCTGATCTCAATCCAAAAATGTCGACATGGTGCCGATAGTTCAACGGTAAAACCCGGCGCTCAGTATTCGCACAATGGAATGGAATTTTCGAAAGTTATGACGTGTCCCTGATGGACTGAAGCAATCGGGCGATTGAGTTGAGAGTACCAGTCCAAACTTTTAAGCCCGTTCCGTTTAGGCAGGGTTTCAGCGATGCTGGGAGATTATCCCACAAGACTTTTTAGCCAGAGGCATGGTTGCTTCAGTTGACAATGAAGTTTAGTGAGCTGCAGAAATATGAACGTAGGCTATGACGGTTTTTGGTTTGAGCATAAACGCAACAAGATGCAACATTTTAGCATAAAAAGTTTTACTCCCCTTTCAATGTTTCCCAGCTGAGAGCATTGTGCGGATAATGGGAACCATATGAACCGAGAGTGCACTTCACAGCCGAGGTTAAGTCTCATTGCTATATGGTGGCTCTATACAAACTCATTTACCGACTGGCCGGAAGAATTATCGTAACAAACTTGCTGTTCTTGATTGCATAGCATTTTGGCTAGCAAGTTTACCGATTCTCGGAACTTACGTGAAGGTCAAAGAACTGCTACTGAGAACAGTGGTTGTAGCTTGGGCTAGGCGGACAAACTAGCGACCAAAATCAACACTCGTAAAACGCTGGCGTACAAATTTTTCGGAAGGGCATACTTCCAGCCGAGACAACCATGAAAAGGACAGCAATAGTAGGCAAATTTCGATGCATCTCAAGATAGGTTGCAATCGCCTACTGGACGGCAAATAACTTGACGCTTCTGACCTGACACTGTCAATCTATCGCCACATCATGTTACGATCAGAATCGGCTTGGTTGGTTGATGCAGTCGCTCCAAAAGTTCTTGCCGCAATGCGTACTGGAAAGAGTTAGGTTAATTGTCCACCTGGATTACTCAGCGATGCATTCAACTATTCATGCATCGTATGAATTACCCCATGTGTCGTGGTTTCAATGGAAGTGAGAGGATAACGTGCTCGTGCTCATTGTGAACACTATTCAGGTGGTTACATCATAATGCACTGGTTGACCACCTCATTGTAAGACAGTTTGACTGATCATCACGTCAAACGCGATCACTATCGCCCATCAGGTTTACTGTGGCATCCCTAGGATGTGAATACCGCAGGCAACATTATCATGATTGCAAGTTCAAGAGTTTCACTCAAAACGCTTTTCAGCTTCAACGTTTGGTGCTTCAGAAGCGGAAGAAAGAGAGAAAAACAGTCCAACTTTAATGAACCGAATCGGTATCTGGTATCCATGGTTGAATATTGGAGCGGGCTCAAATATATCAGAAGCAAAGTGGAATAAGAGATTCCCCTTAAATTTAATGCGTACCCAGTGACTTGTAGCTGAGAGATTCGTTGTCGAAGTGAAATGTGTGCAACCAACTGAGCTTAACGATGAGAGATTTACGCCAGAGATTTTATCTATCCCAACGTTCTTGGTTCCAGACTAAAGTATTTTGTGTATTGGAACCTTGCGCCATTCCGTGTACTGTGTTATTAGCGGTGTTTTACTAAACTCCGTTCAAAAGAGTGCTATCGATCCTATCCGACGGGAACCGCAAGTGCAAATGGAATCATACAAAGCAACAAAAGAAACAAGTTGATCGCATTCATGTGGGGGACGGCTTTCAAAAGTAATACGACCAGTCATATGCATTAAGCGTAACCGTACTGCCATTAGGATTCGACTGAAGTCGTCCAAAATGTAGTCTGCTTTGAGTGATGCAGCTCTTCTTGTCTGTTGAAGTGATCGGAGATCTATCAGGTTCAAAGTAGATATACACCTTAATAACCCTGTCCAGATATTCTCTGGTAGTGTGAAGACATTCCTGATAGGCTGCTGTTCAGCTTCTATTTCATTAGAAGCACATATACCACATGCCAGAATGACCCAGTTCTTTTCTGTTCGCTCTCGTTAGTAATCAATGCGAAACCATGGAAATGATGGACGAACTCGTTCGACAAATTTCACCGTCTGGGTATGTCTGGTGAGCAGAAGCTTCATAAAGTATGAACTGTCCTCAGTTTCTGCTCATGAGAGTGATGAGGCTTTGGGCACCAGATTTTGTACTGCTAACAATGGTTTTAAAATGTGTGTTGTCCGCACAAAACACGATGCCATCTACACACTTGGCCTAGATAATGGGGATTCTGTGGGGTATTATCACCCACTGATCCTTAGTTATTCCCGCTAAACCCTCAACAACGATATCCCAGCAACTCACAAGTAATAATCCAGTATTTGCAGAGGAGACGCCTGAAAGGGTGCGAACAGTGAATGACCTACGGTTTCGACAAGCTCAAATGGCAGTATACTGACAAATTCCGACGGAGGCCGTTTGCAACGTGGTTTGATTTAAGAACAAAATTGTGATCCACAACAAATTGGCGACGGAAACACTTGGAAGTCGAACTCCGCAATGCCACTTTCAGATAAAGAACTTACTTTGATTTTACAACAGCAGAAAGCAAAATTTTGAAATGTTTCAGTTGAGGCTATTCAAAGCATTCCTTCCCAAATTGAGCATTCGAAGTCCAACCGCAGCTAAAACGAAGAAATCCTCTGTTAACGCTGTTGTGAACGATATAGTTCAGTTCCACTACGATGCAGAATCGGAGCTCATCCTCGAATATAAGAAAACATCTTTAGGGCAGAATTTGCGGATTTGGACGATGGTTGGATATCATGGCTGTTACTCTAGTTGCTCGGGACACCGGAGCACGACAAATTTATTAATTTTATACTCCCAAAATCTTCAAAAGACGTTTCCTTTGATGAACTCGTACAACTGTTGAAAGAAAATTTTGTAAACCGTGAAAGCGTTCAAAAGAGCTTTGCTTAAGGCGGAAGGGGAAGGAACCACAGAAAACACCCTACAACACTTCCTTTCAATGTATCGCCTGACTCCGTATTCGCCCACGCCGGAGAGCAAGGCGCCTGCAGAGACACTACTTTACGGTACTCCCCGAAGCACCTTTGATCTTCTGAAGCTTCTGAAGGACGTGGCATCAACAAATCACAAAATGGTGTCCTACTATAATCTCAAGCATGGTGCACAATGGCGACATTTTGACATCAGACAGAGCGTGTTTGTAAAGAACTCTCATGGTGATCATGTTTACTGGCGGCATGGCAAAATCACTCGACGAATCGGAAATGTCATCTATGATGTTCACGTGCGTTCCGAAACATGGGTTCGTCATGCAAATCAGTTGAGTTCACAGCCCACCCAGAGATTGAATGCGTCGCCTCTGAAAATTTTGACAGAACATCTGGATATGAACAGAGGAAGGACAACAGACACGCAGGTTGCGAATCAGCTACCAGTAGCACCTCCGTATCAACAGTCGCGAAGGACGACACGCAGGAGGATGCAAGTGACAGTTTCAAGTTAACCCTATACATAAAACTTATACTATTCAACTTCAAAGAGGAGGTAATAGGAGACAGATGAGTCCTATTTTTAGTACCACTTTTTGACCCGCCCAGAACTTCCCACGGTAGTGTGAAGACATTCCTGATAGGCTGCTGTTCAGCTTCTATTTCATTAGAAGCACATATACCACATGCCAGAATGACCCAGTTCTTTTCTGTTCGCTCTCGTTAGTAATCAATGCGAAACCATGGAAATGATGGACGAACTCGTTCGACAAATTTCACCGTCTGGGTATGTCTGGTGAGCAGAAGCTTCATAAAGTATGAACTGTCCTCAGTTTCTGCTCATGAGAGTGATGAGGCTTTGGGCACCAGATTTTGTACTGCTAACAATGGTTTTAAAATGTGTGTTGTCCGCACAAAACACGATGCCATCTACACACTTGGCCTAGATAATGGGGATTCTGTGGGGTATTATCACCCACTGATCCTTAGTTATTCCCGCTAAACCCTCAACAACGATATCCCAGCAACTCACAAGTAATAATCCAGTATTTGCAGAGGAGACGCCTGAAAGGGTGCGAACAGTGAATGACCTACGGTTTCGACAAGCTCAAATGGCAGTATACTGACAAATTCCGACGGAGGCCGTTTGCAACGTGGTTTGATTTAAGAACAAAATTGTGATCCACAACAAATTGGCGACGGAAACACTTGGAAGTCGAACTCCGCAATGCCACTTTCAGATAAAGAACTTACTTTGATTTTACAACAGCAGAAAGCAAAATTTTGAAATGTTTCAGTTGAGGCTATTCAAAGCATTCCTTCCCAAATTGAGCATTCGAAGTCCAACCGCAGCTAAAACGAAGAAATCCTCTGTTAACGCTGTTGTGAACGATATAGTTCAGTTCCACTACGATGCAGAATCGGAGCTCATCCTCGAATATAAGAAAACATCTTTAGGGCAGAATTTGCGGATTTGGACGATGGTTGGATATCATGGCTGTTACTCTAGTTGCTCGGGACACCGGAGCACGACAAATTTATTAATTTTATACTCCCAAAATCTTCAAAAGACGTTTCCTTTGATGAACTCGTACAACTGTTGAAAGAAAATTTTGTAAACCGTGAAAGCGTTCAAAAGAGCTTTGCTTAAGGCGGAAGGGGAAGGAACCACAGAAAACACCCTACAACACTTCCTTTCAATGTATCGCCTGACTCCGTATTCGCCCACGCCGGAGAGCAAGGCGCCTGCAGAGACACTACTTTACGGTACTCCCCGAAGCACCTTTGATCTTCTGAAGCTTCTGAAGGACGTGGCATCAACAAATCACAAAATGGTGTCCTACTATAATCTCAAGCATGGTGCACAATGGCGACATTTTGACATCAGACAGAGCGTGTTTGTAAAGAACTCTCATGGTGATCATGTTTACTGGCGGCATGGCAAAATCACTCGACGAATCGGAAATGTCATCTATGATGTTCACGTGCGTTCCGAAACATGGGTTCGTCATGCAAATCAGTTGAGTTCACAGCCCACCCAGAGATTGAATGCGTCGCCTCTGAAAATTTTGACAGAACATCTGGATATGAACAGAGGAAGGACAACAGACACGCAGGTTGCGAATCAGCTACCAGTAGCACCTCCGTATCAACAGTCGCGAAGGACGACACGCAGGAGGATGCAAGTGACAGTTTCAAGTTAACCCTATACATAAAACTTATACTATTCAACTTCAAAGAGGAGGTAATAGGAGACAGATGAGTCCTATTTTTAGTACCACTTTTTGACCCGCCCAGAACTTCCCACGTGAGCTTTATAAGCAGTCCGTTTACGGCTGCACACGACATGCCTGTACGCGTAAGTGTTCAATAGATCAGCTGATTCGTACGTTGATTGGTTGGCCCAAGCGCATCAGGCTATCAAGCGGCTATCCACACTCACGGCATCAGGCTAGCGGCTATCCACACTCACGTTTATGGCATTAAGAAGGCATTGGAAAAACTGTCATCCACAACAAGTGGTAAAGCCTCTTGTTTGCTGAAGTGATCAAACGTCTATCATGGACACGCACTTTGATAAACTTGTCCAGATATTCTCTGATAATGTGAAGACATTCTTGACACGCTGCTGTCCAGGTTCTATTACGTCAGAAGCACATACACCACATGCCAGAATGACCGCAGTCCTTTTCTGTTTGCGCTCGTTAGTAATCAATGCGAAACCAGGGGAATGGAGGACGAACCCGTTTAAGAGGACTACAATATGCATTGCCACATATTACTCCGTCGGGATGTGTCTGGTGAGCAGAAAATTCAGGAAATATGAACTGTCCTCAGTTTTTGCTCATGAGAGTGATGAGGTTTCGGGTGATTAGACATTGTACGATTAACAATGGTTTTAAAATGTGTGTTGTGCGCACTAAACACGATGCCATCTACATACCTGTTCTAGATAATGGGGATTCTGCGGGATATTATCAGCAACTCGCCACTCAATCATTCCCAGTAAAGTTTCGACACAATTTGTCCCAGTGAACTTCCGATAGCGACACCATCAATCTGTCTGTAAACAACAGTCTGGGGACTAGGGCGCAGATTTTGTTTGTCTGAAATAACAAGTTCTTGAGGATGAGCGAATTATATATATATATATATATATATATATATATATATGCCGCCGCTCCACTTAGTCATTGATATGGTCAACTTTTTCGTGCAACAAGACGAAGTGAGCATTGATAAAAATTAAATATTTTATAGGATACTTTTGGTCGGAAAAAGGGTTTTCTAGAGAGAAAAGTGATAAACCGCGCCGAGTTGGGTCCGATTTATCAAGTAATCAATTTATACAGATGACAGTTCTCAATGCGAAATCGACCTTTTGTTCTCGTAGTACCTGAAAATCTGGGTGTTCCCCTTCCTGTAAGACTAAGGTGGGAAGTGACATGTGACTATGTGGAATGTTAGCCAGTTTTTAAGAATTCTTTCTTTCTATCAACTTTTTTCTCAGGCACGGTTTAGTTTGCCTGTTAGATTGTCGCTGAGGATGGATTGAATTCTTCCGGGTACATTGATGAAACAGTTTTTAGGGCAATAAACCTCATATCGTGCGTTTTTGTGAGTTCTGCTAATAATCAGCTTCAAGGCGGCGTTGTTGGCTGATGATGGAGACAAAAATCTGTTCGAGGTGTCTATCAGTTTTACTCGAAACCACTCGGTCTACTCTGACGATCAGCTGATTCGTTTGGTCTTGGGAGCTTTCGAATCGGACCTATACCTGACCGTTGTCATTTTTCTGCACTGGGACATTAAACTTGCGCCCAACCCAAAATGCCTCCATTTGAGCTTGTTGAGACCGTAGGTCATTCACTGTTTCCAACCGTTCAGACAGCTCTTCTGCAAATATTGGATTATTACTTGTGAGTTGCCGAGACATTGCTGTCGAGGATTTAGTAGGAATAACTGAGGGGCAAGTTGGTGATAATACTCCGCAGAATCCCCATTATCTAGAACAACTATGTAGATGCCATCGTGTTTAGTGCGAACAACGCACATTTTAAGTCGATTGTTATTCTGGTGCCCAAAACCTCATCAGTCTCATGAACAAAAATTGAAGACAGTTCATATTTTCTGAATTTTCTGCTCACCAGACACATCCCGACGGAGTAATATGTTGCAATATATATTATAGCCCTCCTAAACGATGTCCCTGGTTTCGCATTGATTGCTAACGAGCGCGAACAGAAAGGAACTGGGTCATTCTGGCATGTAATATATGTGCTTCTGATGAAATAGCACCTGGACAGCAGCGTATCAAGAATGTCTTCACATTACCAGGGAATATCTGGACAGGGTTATTAAGGTGCATATCTACTTTAAACCCGATAGATCTTGGGTCACTTCAGCAGACAAGAGGAGCTCTACCATTCAAAGCAGACTACACTTTGAACGACCCCAGTGGATTCTTAATGGCAGTACGGTTGCGCCTAATGCAAATGAATGCTCACATTAATTTTGAAAACCGTCCCTCAAATGCATGCGATCACCTTGTTTCTTTTGTTGTTCTGTATCATTCAGTTTTGAGTTGCGGTTCCCTTTGGAAAGGATTGCAAGTGCCTCATCCAGTCTCGAAAATCATTTGTGGAATCTTCGGTTTTTCAAACTTCTTTTGTTATGGTCCATCCGAACAGTAACTGAGGGTTTTTTGACGTTTTTGATAGAGAGAAATTGGAAGCTATTTGCACGCATAGAGCTGCTGGTATTGAATTGATGTCGAGCCAAAATTGTTGCGAGTACTGCTTCCGATAACATTTTATCAGACAAATACATTCGTAAATATTTTACAAGGTTAATGGGACAAAATGTGTGATACTTGGTTACTTCAGGTACTCACAATTAGCTGGTCCTCAAATGGGTCTTCGAGTTTCTCCAGGAGGCAGTAATCTGCTAGGCAGTGCAAACTCAGTGCCTCGAGATGTATCTTTTGATGACAATGGGTCCTTGAGGAAGCCCGCTGACAGTATCTCATGCTGTTTAGAATGAATCTTCGCGGACGAACTTCGAACAGTTTAACGCCACTCCATGCACTTCATGTCATAACTGAATTTTGTAGACTTGGTTGTTGGTATCAACCAGTTGAATTCCAGTTGCACACTTCGTGCGTTTAGCTTCTCTGGGTCAAAAACAGGACGATAGATGCGCGTTTATTTTCCGGGATTGGCACCGAGCCGTACAACCCACATGGTTTGCTGAACACCAGTAAACAAAATCACCGACCTATACTGAAGTGTCTTGTACCGTAATGCACTTTCCAGATTTGTGTTCGCGTGCGGGATATGGATAAGTGGGTCCTAATGTGTACTTCAGTGAGTATTCTTCAAACAGAGGTGATTAGCCGGTGGATGACAGTTTTCCATGACTGAACACTGATGTGGCCACTGTATTCAAACGGGTTTCCTGGGAAGTAAAATACATCGTCTTAATACTGTCTCCTCAAGGCGTCCTAGAATTTTACGTACGAACGTTTCTGGTTATCCGTTCTTGATCGGGGTCCTTGCAATTGGCTTTCGTTCTGCCCCAAGGGAATCATGAGTGCACACCTTCTGAGCCCAGTTCGTAAGGATTTATCCTATATCTTGTACCATGGAAATTCGTATACTCACCAGATCAGGTTTCAATGGCTTTGCGTCAGTTCTTTTGGTCAGCACGACATGAAATAAGTTGGAAATACTCTTAGGCCAATCGTCCACAGTGAACCTCAGTGCGGAATCTGCCAAGTTAAACCCTCACCGACTGAGTTGAAATAGTCGCGGTTAGTAAGGGTATCATCGACATGTCGACGGCAAAATGGCAACATCTGGTTAAAACAGTACGCCGAGTCTTGCCCATTTTTCCCCTTTCCAACCTATTCGGACGGAACCAGGGGGCACATTCTTCTACAGAGCCCAAAGTTTTTCAAAATACTCGGGAGTAAACTCTGTCATTTTTCTGCTGAATCATCTACAACTGATTCTTGCCCGCGGTGAGCCTACCGCAACAATGAGAAACACGTATCAACCACTGGATTGGCACTAAAAATCACACCAACCAGTCTCTTCTACAGGCCCAAAGTTTTTCAAAATACTCGGGAGTAAACTCTGTCATTTTTCTGCTGAATCATCTACAACTGATTCTTGCCCGCGGTGAGCCTACCGCAACAATGAGAAACACGTATCAACCACTGGATTGGCACTAAAAATCACACCAACCAGTCAGGACGTTGATATGAGACAAGGCACGTGTATTTTTTTTACTCAGGTATCCAAGTCACGCAGATTGCCGGCAGCAACCACATACTGACCTTAAAACAACCAAAGATGAATGAAGGTGATCTTGAACAACGCTGCTCTCTTAACGGAACATACTGCTCATAAAATTTCTGAGTAGCATGTTCCATCGGGAAAATACACAGCGTCATCGTGATTAGCGTACAATCCGTATGAAGCATATTCACCTAAAGAGGGACATCAAATACGAGAAGTTCAGCTGGATTCAGTCGAGCCTCCTGTTGAAGCCAAGTTGGTGTGCAAACAGGTGTATTTCGCAAACGTTGTCACTTTTGTACTTTTGCTCAATTACATTGTTATTCTTTAGGAAAGATGCAGTATGTGGACGACAGTAGAGTAGGTAGATATTGAGGATAAACGTGCGGTCATGTGCCGCCTTACCGCACACAAAGAAGGCGTCCATTTCTGAGTAAAAGTTATTGGCTGGGTAATTCAGCGGTTTGGTATCATCGAGTCATCACTTCCACGCACTCACCGTCCCACTGAATGGAATCTATTTTTAACATATGATGCGAGGTATACATTTCCGTCAGGACTGATAGAAGTCATGTGCTGCGGCATGATAGAATTTTTCGTACTCTCTTCAGCTGCAAAACTGAAACACAGGATTTACAAAAAAGGAGTAGAAGCGATCATAAAGACACTGATCGATTGAATTT